TTTTGGTGCCCACCGGTGATATAAGTTCGATGGTAGATAGGGGGCAGGGTTTAATAAGAATATTTTCTTCTTCCTGCTCCTTTTCACACATGGTTGTTGTGTTTTGTTGATAGAAGATGGGGTTATTTTGTTTGATCTGTTGTACCAAGTGTGAAATAAATAAAAATGAAATGAAATGAAATGAATTAGGAATTTTGAGGCCTTCTAACTGTTTTCTTGGCTATACTTTGGACTATATTCTGCTTCTAAACAGTTTCTTTAAATGTGCTTAAACCAGCCCTCCCACAAAGTAGATGTTTTAAGTCCAAATAAGTCACTTTCTACAACCTGACTGTTAACTGTGTGTTCTACAAGTTAACAGCTGGAACCTGAGGGCACTGAAAAGAGAGAAACCACACGGATGAGTGGTGAATGGCTTGATGATAAACATTTCCAGCTTTTCTGTTGCATTTCCGTTTTGATTCATGCCCAAGTAAAGTGAAAAACACACATTAAATAAATGTTATCTTTCAGTATCTGAGCTAAGCTGGGTTCAGACATGCTACAGTCCTGGCAAGCACGTCTTGATAGCTCGCTTCTCATGTCACTGTTACCACTGAAGCCAATTATTGAATTTGCCAAAAATATGCTGAGAGAGGAGGTTTGAGGAGCTGTGAATGTATAATGAAGATGATGCATGAATAAATAAATAACCATCATAAGGTTTTATGATCAATATAATGCAGCTGTAGTTTGGTCAAACAAGCCTGCTGTCTAATGTGAGTGCAAGGTGAGGGAATAGCAGCCCTCAGCACATGCTTCAAAGCCCTACCCAGACACTTTTTTTTAGCCGGGCTTAATACACACATACACATAGTGAGTGTAGATCAGCCCTCAGTCACAGCCCTGTGCTTCAGGGAGACCGGAGTGATGGAAGCAATAGTTAAGCCATTAAGGCAAACAATTGGCTCAAATTGAGAGGGAGGGAGAGAGAAAAGAAGAGCAAGAAGAGGGAAAGAGGGAGGGAGATGGAGAGTCTATGGCAGGAGTGGATCCACTCAACGACTTAATCCGAGCCCCAGGACACTCTCCTGCTAAGCTTCACACACTTTCACAAACATCTACACACACACACACACTATAAAGCTCTGCCTGCCTCCAATAACACCTTGTCAGTCTTGGCCACAGGGGCGATGGAAGAGCCGCTCATTCCTTTATAGTTAGCAGAGGCACCTACTTCCAACCACCTAAGGGAAAGACGGAGCGTGCAATCTACACAAGACAGCTCTGTGAGCATTCGTACACCTTATGGCTGCTGGTGTGAAGCTATTCATTGTCTTAGCAGGCAGAGTGAATGGTGGAAGGAGCACAGGGTGGACAGTGTCCTGGACGAGGGAGGCGATCCTCTGACACCGGCTATTGTATCGTCTCCCCCCTTGGCCTTGCTCAGTCCCCACGAGCCTCACATAAACAGCTAACAATGAGGGATTGTCTCCAGCCTATTCCCCCTCTTTCTGCTCTTTAGCTTTCACACACACATCAGCTTTGTGTGTGTGTGTGTGTGTCAGAGGGCGAAGGCATGATGTGCTGCAGTCTGAACCCAGCGACCACCGCAGCTTGTCCGATGCAGTCGTCTTCGCCGTTTATGTGGCTAAATATCAGCCGGTGATAGGGCCAGTCAGCTACTTGCTACCACCGCCGCCCTTCCCTCCCTCCCCCTGCCGTCAGCTACCACCCTTGGGGCTCGTGCAGTACCCAGGCCCGAGCGATTTATCGGACAGCTTAGCGAGGAGCGGTTATTGCCCAGAGGACTGTTAGCACGGGCTTGGCTCGTTGACTCCTTCTCCATTTCTGGCGTTTTATTTGACATGTCCTTTATGTCCTTTAAAGAATTGGGCGTTTCTGCCGAGCGCCTTGGCTCTTTCTGCAAAAGATGGATGGCCCGCGTTCAAAGGTCTGGATGTTTTCTTTCCTCTCCCTCAATCTCTCTTTCCCCCTCCCTCCTTCCTTCAACTCTTTCTCCTTTCGCTCTCGCTGAGCTTTATAGGGTGGTATTAGCGTTGTCAGCTAACCAAGCTCAGGATTTGGCTTTGTTTTGTTTTTGCCTCTTAAGATAATGCTTTTTCACTCTCCTGCTGAGAACAACAAAAGGAAGAGAAGAGCAATAAAACAGCACAGCCATTGACTTTGGTTTCATTAAACTGGTTTTCAGCCGTCTTCAATAGACCACAGGCCTTGATGGCGCTTGCGTGTATGTAAGAGGTTGTTTGCAGCCATGTGTGTGTGATTATCGTCAAAACACAGCCACACTTAGGCTCGTGCGTACTCAGGTGCCGCTCTCATCTCTGTCATGGCCTTACTGCTGAAAGGTGCTGAAAGTTATTCACCTTCATTGGTGCATAATTAAATAAATAAATAACAGAGAGAGGAGCCACGAGTGTGTTTTGTGACGATAAGTGTTGTTGCTCTGCAGTGAAAGGGCGGGAAAGCACTTCAACTCCTTTTCGTATGCATTCCAGATGTGGAGATATATAAGCAGACCGATCGGCGTGTAAGCATCTGTGTCCTGTTAGAGGCGGCCTGGAGGTTTACTGTACTGGCTCTGCAGCCTAATCCCTCACACAAAACCTCGCATTACCACGCCGCACGCTGTTTACCCCGCATCCAGCGAGGCGTGCGAACACGCACAAACATTCACACATGCATCACGGCGCACATATATTCGCACAGAGTGTCTCCTCTGTCGGCTACAGCTCGGTCTTGTGTCGGCAAGTGCAGTGAAAAAAAAGACGTACTTTGTATGCTGCTTTTGCTGTTGCGCTGTAAAATAAAATCTGAGTTCACCTCAGTCCTTCAGTGTGGATTTACTGACATCCCATATAGATCCATCGCTACATCTCCGCTATCAAAAATCCACACTTAGCATCACAGTGAAATGTCAGTTTGCTGATGTGTCAGGTCAGTGTATATAAAAATTGCCGGCTTCGGGGATATCAGGCTGTAAAACCTAAATTGAAAGCTGTCTCGCCCCGCTGTAAGGAGCTGCGAAGGCACCCAAGAGAATTTTATTAGTGTGGCTCTCACTGAGTTTCAGTGTCCTTGTGACGTTTCTAAAGGCTGTTTTAGAGCCTTTTCCATAGTGTTATGAATGAAAACCTGGGAGGGCATTTTTTGAAGTTAAATTAATTTTTTTGCACAATATTGGTTCCAAGGTTCTAATTTAAGATATTTTATTATTTCCTCCTTTTTCATGTGTGTGTCTGCTGAAAGCTCAGTATCTTCTCTTATAGTGGCTTTGAAATGCTTCAGAATTCATGATATTCTACTTTTACAGATGTTTAAGCTTTCAAATCACTTTAACCCATTAGGATCTTGGCCATTTTATTCTATGTCTACTCTATTAGATACTGCAGTATGCAAAAACCAATATATATGTGTGCGGATGACTAGTTTAAAAAAAAACCCACAAGGTTACAATACACTGGGCTGACTGAGAAAATCAGTTGTGAAGCTGAAAATCAAGGCAACAAAGACTGCTTTTTATGCTGCTGCGTAAATTTTAGTTTCTGCTGAATTTTGGGGAGCAAATTTGAAACGTGTAATTGTGCTGTGTGCAGAAACGATACACTCAACCTTTAGGTTATTTATTTTAACACAAGGGAAATTTCCATGAGCAAGCCAGAGCACGGTTTGGATATTTGGTCTTTTGAAATTGAAACTGCGGGGTAACGCTGTTCTGCCAGTGAAAACTGCTTTTAAGTTTTCAAATTTAGCTTCAGGTCAAGTTTGTTTGTGTCTAAGTGTGTTTACGGGTGTGTAGTTTTAGTTCGAGATTCCTACGATAATCAAAAAGATTAGGAAAATGCTTAAAAGCATTGTAGATCCAGTTTAAATCACATAACATGAACACAGAGACCCTGATTCTTAAGCTGTTAGTGATATTGGTTTGTCTGTGATGTTCTAATGTCCCGCCTTTTGTCTCTTCAACAGTAACGGCACGGCCGGAAAAATGAACGGGGCGCTGGAGCATTCGGACCAGCCAGACCCGGACGCCATCAAGATGTTTGTGGGCCAGATTCCACGCTCCTGGTCAGAGAAGGAGCTGAAGGAGCTATTCGAACCGTATGGAGCCGTCTACCAGATCAACATCCTCCGAGATCGCAGCCAGAACCCTCCACAGAGCAAAGGTACTAACCAACACGGTTACACAGTACTTAGAGGTGATGTGTTCATTCATTCATGTATGGTTGTCTGCTATAGTTTCTCTTCCTTCTTACCTATGTTTCTCTCCTTTCTTTCTCATGATGAAGAAAATAAATCATAAAAATATCAACAAACGTTTATGCAAATACAATGATACAGTAGCCTAAGTTATGATAATGAATCGAGGTACTTTGGTCCCTCTTCTTGGGGAGTCAAGTGCTCCTGTTTTGTCAAAGCTGCTGGTGTCTCAGAGATAAGCCCAAGGTGTCCTTTGGCCTTGGTGCCATGACTCAGGAGCCCTTGGCATCACATTAAAACCCACCAGAGTACAATTAAGCATCATTTTCAATGTTTTCAGTAGAGACAAATTAACAAAAAGATGTTATAATAGTGTTAGGATTATGATAGGGTTAGAATTACAATCATCAGTGATTATATCAGAGGGTTAATACACACCAGATCACTAGTAACCTGCTTAGGGTTAGGGTCATCATTAATGATGACTTAGACCTCAGAGGGTTAAAGCAGCACTGCTAGCTCTCGGCATTACAGACTATATGAAAGATGGGAAGACCCTCTATGTCTGAAATTGAAGCTGCCTCTGAAGTGCCATAAATCTGCATTTTATTTAATAGCCAGACTTGCTAATCAAGCTAACTAGCATTAGCTTATAAATTAGCATGCTTCTGTATCCAATTAAGGTCATTTGTGGCTCAAACAAGATGGGAACAGCCCTCATGCTTAACTTGAGAATTGAACATTACATTGTGTAAATTGTAGTCAGGCTGTGTAGTCAGCCTAAGAAGGTCAGAAACATTAAATTTATAACATATGTGAAAGGCTGTTTGTCTACTGATCACCTCAGATGACAATGTCAGGTGACATCTCCAGGTCTATTTACTCTGAAAGAGGCTGTAAAACTTTGGGAAAGAGTCCATTACAGATCAGTGAGTTAGAGAATCTCGCTTCTGATCGATGATAATGAAACTAAGTTGAGGACTGAACCTTTCTGTCAGTAAGTCTTGTTTTAGCTGCTATTAGCCTCTGTTAGCTGCTTTAGCCAGCGTTAGATCAACTTTTTTTGAAGTGGATCTAACATTTTTGGACTCTTAGCAGATAATCTCTTGCAAAATATGAGCGTTAAATCAAACAGTTTATCAGAGGGAAAGCGTGATTTTTAGGTTACGCAAGCTTAATATTAGCTATTGTTAGCTAATAGTCTAGTCTAATCTAGTCTGCTGATAATAAGTAATTAAAACAATATCAGGGATAAATAAGCAAATGTCTCTTCTCCTCCACCTTAGGTGTTTTATTTATGTGGCAGATCTCCAGCCAATCATATGGGAGATGTCGTTTCAGGCCACTGTATTCAAATGCGGTGGAGAACATGGAACACAAACCACAAACCTGCTCCTTTGTATTTAATTAAAAATTTGGATTAATTAAAAATTAATTATACATTTATGAGAACATATCAGTTTCTTGGAAGATATAATTACACAATACAATTAGTATACAATACAATTAGTAATTACAATTAGTAATCTATGTATATTTATGAGTATAATACCCTTTTTTTCTAAGTAAATAATACAAAAAAAAATACTGAGTACACCTCTAAAGCAGGATTTCACAAACTTGGTTAGTCAGTAGAAATCTGTGGGCAGTCAACTATCTGCTCATTTTTTCTATGACCTCTCAAAACACTTCCCTGATGATGTTATGGCTTGAGTTGCTATTTTCAAGTCATGACTAATTTAAAAAGGATAAACCAGGCTATTCTCATGGACTGGTGGCTTGCTGATCACAAATCAATAGCCAATGAGATTGCATTTTAGCCAGATGTGACCCTTTGCTGGTCACATCTGGTGTTAAAACACCAAGGGTGGACACTACGACAATGCTCAGGGCTTTACTTCAGGACTTCACATCAGATGGTCACATCCATCTTTTATAGATCTTTTATATGCCATCTATGCTTTGCATCAAGTACTGCTCCAACACCAAAGGACAGTTTGTCCGTATCTGAAGCCAACAGCTTCTGACAGAAACGTCACTTTTTAACGCTCTGCTATGAGAATGCGTAGGATACCCCTACAGAAAACACAAACACTTAACTGTATGTACACTTCTACCCACACAGAGGCACATAGACTATCAGTGGTTGAGGACCGTCCCACCTATTTAATGGCAGAACAAGTGATGCATGTGCAACATTACACAAGCAAACACGTATTTCGTGCACCATTTGAAGACAAAGACTCGCCTTGCCAGACTTACACAGTCAATTGTTCGAAACTGCATGATTTGCAGCTATTTTCTCCCATTCCCTTTTCTTTTTCCTTTGATGAATTCATCAAGTGTGAGAGCAAACAATAGAGACAGCAGCCACAAACGGGCAGACAATAGCGTTGCCATATTAACAGCCATCAACCAGAGTGGGGGTTGATGACACTCCTGATGAGACATGGAGAGTGGGAGGAAAGTAAAGAGAGAGGCAGTGAGGACGGCAGGAAGGGAGAGGTGGCGTTTCCACCCGACTGGAAAGCAAATTTTGAAGAGAAGTTTCAAAGTGTCACTTGAAACAAGATCGGAATCAAGAGGGATGAAGTGTGAATAAAGCCAGTAAACACCTTCCTGCAAGAAAAATGAAGTCAAGGAGTTTTCATTTCTGGGCCAGCTGATGCTTGCTATAGATGTCTTGAAATGCGGTGATATATTACAAAGTAAAGCTCTGTATTACATTTAAAAACTTCTCATTTGGCTTGTCGGATGCTTTGAGAAGGAAACATATTTGACTTAATACCAGGGAAAATAACAGTGTTATTTATACGGAAATCATAAGAATAAGATCTGACCTCTTGGTTTTGGTGTGTGGAGCTTATTATTTTCAATACTTCCCGTGCTTCATGTTGCCACAGTGACGTCACCCGTTTAAGTCTTACTGACCAAAATTAGTTTTGCATTTTTGGAGCGATTAATGTACAGCGAGCAATATTGTTAGTTTAATAAGGCTTTCAAAAGTGTTGCAAACATGAACACATACAAGAGATCCAGTTCACTGACTATGAAATAGCTGATTTGATGCCGAGCAAACAGCTAGCAGCCATAGTCAAATCGTCCATGCGCAAAATAATGAAGATGTTAAGCCTTGATGTAATTTAAACTGTCAACTTATATAAATATTTAATACTTTTTTTACTGTCTGGCTCTAAAACTGTTTATTTTTCTTCTTTAAAGTCACATTTTATTATTGAAGATGATGAGGATTGACTCATTTTTACAGGCGGCTGCAAGTGCCTCTTTGTGGAACTACATGTTTGTGGTAGAAAGAAATGCAGATCAGTGCATGAACGTGTGCATTTTGTAAACATATTCAGTCGGTCGAAATGACATAAAACGTTGCACTTTATGCAAATGCACCTGGGTAGACTCGCATGAGACCCATGTCCCCAAATAGTCCTGAGAGTTCCTGCTTATACGCTGCAAGGGAAATTTAGAGTGCAAATCAGTGTTGAGTAGAGATGCTCACCTCGTGCTCACTCCTGTTTTTATATGGGTGATTTTCATATTGCAATTTTTAGAACAGATTTTTTTTTTTGAATAATAGTTAAGTAGGAATTAGTGATTTAAGCTCCGAAGGCTATTAACTACCAGGTAAATGCGGTAATTGTGCACTACTAATTTTCTGCATACTGAAAACTTTGTAGGTTAATTATTATTGAAAATCTAGTCTATTCTAAATTTATCATAAGAAATTACAGTAACTGGCTGTCCAACCTGTAGTATTCTGTAAATTTTAATCAGAAATCTTAAACTTTATGACATATATATGTATGTATATATATATA